AGTTTTTCGACCAATCAGCGCGCGAGATATTCAATAATTACCTGTGTATTTATACTAATACCAATATAATATGTTTTACGTCAATCATGCATGAAGTGATTCCTCAGTCTCCCGACTCTTGAGGCTCATGCTTTAGTGTTCAACGCCAGATCTAATAGACCTAATTCTTATTTATGCAATGTTCACCCATTTCAGACCATGTGTCATTCTCTTCAGAATAAGATTTTCATTGTTTGAGTTTTACCCTTATGTATTTGTCTTGTCGTGCGCAATCAATAACCAAAGAAATGATACTCTTGGGAATGACACGGGGTCCTAAATGAGTAAAAATTGCACCAAGACAAATAAGGTCTAGGAATTTAGACGATTTTTTTACGGAGGGAGTAAAAACGGAGAACCCGGTAAAAACCTTCGAAGCACAGCAGAGAACCAACAAGCAACTCTAACTACATACGAGATCTAGTTTGTTTGGGAATCGAACGAGGTTCCTATTGGTGAAAGATGAGCGCTCTTACCCTGCGCCACCTGAATTCACTTAGGCATGAAACAAACAAAGACGCGTGAAGTGTTTGCTTTTGTAACTGAATAGCTGCAATTAGACAATACGTCTTTGGTTTTGTTTCACATATATATGGCTTGCACTCTTTGCCAGGATCCGTGTCATCATAGGATTTATTGTTGCATTAGTCTTTTAACAAGGGTTCGACAGAAAAATTACTATTTCTCGTTCCTCAGATACGGCGGAGGCCCCGTGGTGACGCGTTTGGATATCTGCGAACAATGTGAGGTAAATACGTAATAACCATTATGATCGCTAATCAAGTTTAACTGTATCAGATGTTCATACTGAATTCTATTGTGTTTTGTTTGTAGATACTGATAGATAAATTAGATAGAAGACGTGACGAAGAAGTTGAGAATTTTAAAAAGGTGGGGCTACTTGTTTTATTCCGTGCCGTCTCTTTCCCTCCTACTCTTCTCATCCCTTCCCTCTCCCTCCTCTCCTCTCCTCCCTTGCTCCTCAACCCCCCCCCCCCAACAACTTGTTTCGTCTCTCTTTCCCCCTCCTCTCATACACTCATACTCACATTCATCCAATGCTCGTGTTTTGATAACTCGACTTAATGATTTTGACATAACGAGATCTCATTCCTCCCTTCACGTCCAATTCTTCGACGGCACGTTACGTCATCGCCGCTATGTTGGTAAACGGCACCACAATGGCCGCCACGTTCTTGTCTTTTGACTCTATTGGAAATGCTTGCGACCCATCAATAGCATACATACCTACATATTCTTCCCTCTTATTCGATAACACGCATAAAGGGATTTTATTATAATGAAAATTCGTAATAAAGAAAGGAGATTTTGACAAGCTGTACCTGTGTGTGTGGATGGGAGGATGGGGCCGGGGGAGGGAGGGAGGTGGCCGCGTGAGGGAGAGAAGTGACCGAGTGAGGGATAGAGGGGGCAGCCGTAGGGGTAAAGGGGGCCGGAAGAGAGGGGGCCGGTGTATTGGTTTGGAGTCTATTTGTTGTCCTATAAATAACCATTCTAGTTATTGATTTTTTATTTTAGTTGTTACATTATTCTCTACTCCTAGTTATACCAACAGTTCCCGGCCGCTGAGAACGTGGATGTGTACTGTATCAGTATGAAGTGGTTTAGACAGTGGGAAGCGTTCGTCAAGGGACGGGAGGAAGGTAAATAGCCAAATACAACCTAATATTCTGCATATAAGGAACTTTCCTATTAGTGAAGCGGTTGTGGAGTCCTTGCATTTGACTGACAGCTTGAAAACATCAAAAAGAGTTCCCTCGAAGCCCAAGCAACTGTCCTCATATGGGATAGTTAGTAATAGACCCCATACATTGATTTCCTAGAGGAATTTTTCTGGGGACAAAACATTATAAGCGCACAATGACCTCCCGAGCATCCCGTTAAAATAGTCAAAGCTCACGAAATAACAGCATAATCAATAAGAACGCTTAAACATAGAGCAGTTTCCATATGACTGTGAAGAGGTCGGTACCTTATGCCTGGCGTACCGTGATGTTTTTTAGAATTCTAACTGGCGGATTTTTTTTCTCGCGCAATGTGATTTGGCTGGCGGTGCCGTGACCTTGGTCTGGCAAATGCCTTGCCGTGTCACGACCGTGTTCGAATTATTTTTACAGATCCTCCTGGTCCTATCGATAATCGTAACATAATTACAGTCAGAGATAATACTAGAATATTAAAATCAAGTAAGTAATAAATTTTTGTATATCAAAAACATATTTTAGCTATCCCAACCTAGCAACAGTAACTAGGGAGGGTGTATTCGGAGTATTCATTTACCATTTCCCATACATTGGTTCACTGGTCAAATACAAAGCGCTCAAGCGAAACGCCAAGGTACTTTCAAAGGATTATTCAAATTTGWACCTTGCAACCTCGACTGAATGCTTTGTGTTTGACCAGTGAAGCGATGTATAGAAAATGGTTTAACAGTTCCGATTCAGACAAGAGCGAACCAATCACCGTTGCAGCAGTTTTCCCAGTGGAATAAAAATACTGTTCCACAAACAACTACACAGCATCTGTTTTGAAGAGTACTACTAGAATTACGAGGCAATTTTTTTTTTTCGTGCATAACAGTACACTATTGAAACAATTCATAATAAATTTTCCACGATCAGAGTTTTAAATTCTGAGATATTCTAGATAATTTGTTAAGCTTGTGGGACATAGCAACGGTAACTAAGGGGAGTCGGAACCACGAATCACAGCAAAGCCGTTTATTGGTTTAAAGTGAAGTTTAGGTGAAGTTCTTCAATGTGGTATCATTTGTAGATGCAGATTATGATCAGGTATCGTTGGAGACATGGAACTATCTCAATGGTATCTATGCTGGTGGACCAACATTCGTCCTTGAAGCCGAGACTGAAGAACAAGAAGTATGATAATGCACCAGGACTCCGCCATGGGCAGTCCATTGACCGGGTACGGAAAGTTATCAATAATAGTGTATACACAAATTTCAAAAAAGGTTGTCCGAGCAAAGTAGATAGGCGATAGGTCATTCCAAGACCTATATATACCTGTTTAATGCGGACGTAAAAGACCCACTGAAAAGGCTGGTGACGACCATCTTCGGTGCCCGTGCTAAACACTACAGGGCACACTGTGATTGGCAAAATGCTGTCGTGGTGTCCTGCCCTCATGGGAAAAGCTAATGAATAAAAAAAGACGGAAAGGAAATATGGACATACAATTACAACTAAACACGAATAATTGAAGCTTTTGAAATGGTTTCCCCGACTGCAAACGACACTGAATATCTCAACCGTATTCTCTGTGTTCTTGACGAGAATAATAATGAAAAACACCAGTCATTCCAGCTATTCTTGGATCTTTGAATGACCAAAGCTTGTGAAAAGTTACAAGCAAAAAACAAAAACCAGTCCCCACTTGGAATATAAATATACAACGCATTAGTTATTGTGTTGCTGGTTGTCGACCTCTTACTAGCAACGTTTTTTTTTTATTTGGTGGACTGGAAATCCACAATTTCAAGAGGAAAAGAGACACCGATTTGCAAATTGTCTTGATTTTGATTGGCCAACATTTTCTCTTAGACCAGCTGGCAGTCCAGACAAAAGCTATACATTTGCATTTGTCCTTTACGTTGCCATTGTTCTAAAACATCTCTGTATTTTTCTTTACACAGGTTTTTATCTGTCTAGATCTTGGTCGCGCCCAATCGTCACTCCTTTCACCCCTACTATTTTATCCTTTAGCCACGCATTGAATCCTGTACTCACGCTCAATCAACACAAAATGCAATTAATCCGACATCTACAAACACTCGTAATATTCGTATTAGAATGGCATTCTCATAAAATAATGGTAAATTACAAAATTATTTAAAAACAAATCCCATCAGTGACATTAAATTGCAGTGGACCGACCCTCTCACTTTGGTCGTCCGGTTGAAAACACATGTCAAACCTCTTGGCAATAAGAGAATGTTATATCCTTAAATGCTCCCCGTAAAATGCTAYCCGGAAGCGGTAACATTGCACTAAACGTTAAGCTATGAAACCAACGCATGTATCTTCCAGGAATTCAGAGGTTTTTGTGCTCCTAGTGCTTCTCAGTCGTGCGATCTGCCTTCGATCCCATTCGCTGCTCGAACTCTGCATTGGAGGTTACCTCGGCTCGCCAAATTCCGTGTACAATGAAATCCAGAATATAACAATGATGTCACAGATCTCTCATTGAAAGTAGAACAATATACATGTATATTGCTCAGAGACTAATTTTATAAATTCTCTTTGAATTGCTGATGCACGCCACATCTCTTCTCGCACTCCAAACGCAATCCTAGGTTTAGTGTACTGTGGCGCTGCGGTACTTTCTGTAAGCGAGAAAAAATTGCAGCTCTTATCGAGCAAATTGCTCGTAAATCAGTCATTTGAAAAGGGCAATTTCTTTTTTCAGACTAAATTCAAGAAATTAAAAATCAAACTATTTAAAAGAACGCTTTCGACTAAACGATTAACTGTGTACATTTAACTTACTGATAAAAAGTGTACATTGTTATATATCGATTTTAGTAGTGCTTTGGTTGGTCATGGCCTCCCACGTACAAAATCATGTGGAACTGTTATTAATCGAATAATTTAAGCCAAAAATATCCCGCTATAGGGGACACCTCGAAAAACTCTACGTCCATTTTCTACGCGTCTTTTGTGTACGTAATCAAAGTGGCAAAACCTTGCAATACAGGCCTAAAACGACTTATAGTAAGGAAACTAAACATAGTTTTAAAAAATCGATTTCAGAATAACCGCTACGAAATAAACCTGTCAAAAAATATAATGGTCACGTGATACTTTTTGATCAATTAAAACTTGAAAAGAATAAGAGCAAGTACGTCCGTGTACACATCACAGGGCTCCCACTGAAATAAAAAAAAATCACAAATGTACATTAAAATAGCTTTAGCCAGGAAATGTTCAGGCCAAGAACAACAGGAATAAACATTCTTATTTAGCTAAAGATGGATCAAGAAGTGATCTTCAAGAACCCGTGTGTTTTTCTTAGAAAAACAATCGTATCTTTTACCGTTTTAAGAAAAATTGTGTTCGCCTCTGATTGGCAATTCAAATTTCATAGATAATTAGCCAGCAAAGCGTAAAATGGAAAACGGCCCGATCGTAAACTTTGACGATGATAGTTTCTAGAACAAAACTAGCCCCTGGGTGGCTGGCTGTGCGTTGTGTACATTAGCCTGCGTGACGGCTCTAGGGGATTGGGGATGAGGGAAAAGGGAATATCGAATATCAGAAAGATATTTCAGTGAGTGAATATTAATAAATCAAAGATTATAACAGCAAAGTTCCGGCTCGAATGAAAGTTTTAATTTTGGAACGATTTTCGTCCAAGTCAGTGCCACTAAGTATTTACTATTCAACTTGTTTTCCTTTTTTTAAATTTTTTTAATTTATTTTTTATTTCCTGTTTAGCAATCTGCTTTCCTAGGATCACACATAGTGAATATCGTCTCCTGCGCAGCCAATCACAACGCATAATATTTCATGCTGTCCCGGAAAACTGAATATTTACGAGTAATGGCTTAATCTATTGCCGTGACCTTGTCATAAGCAACAGCCTCATGATACTCTGTCAAGATACAGAGCATCTTTAACCTCTTCTTATCAAACTACAATTTTAGGCAAGCTGACAAGTAATGGCTTAATCTATGGCTGCGACCTCGTCATGAGCAACAGCCTTATGATGTTCTGGCAACTACAGAGCACGTTTACCAACTTCTTATTAAACTACAATTGCTAGGCAAGCTAACAAGTAATGTCTTAATCTAGGGCTGTGACCTCGTCATGAGCAACAGCCTCATGATACTCTGGCAACATACAGAGCACGTTTACTAACTTCTTATTAAACTACAATTGTTTTTTTTTTTTTTTTAATAATTGTTAGGCAAGGTAACAAGTAATGTCTTAATCTAGGGCTGTTACCTCGTCATGAGCAATAGCCTCATGATACTCTAGCAATGTATAGAGCATCTTTAACCACTTCTTATCAAACTACAATTGTTAGGCAAGCTGAMAAGTGATGTCTTAATCTATGGCTGTGACCTCGTCATGAGCAAGAGCCTCGTGATACTCTGGCAACGTACAGAGCACGTTTACCAACTTCTTATTAAACTACAATTGTTAGGCAAACTGACAAGTAATGGCTTAATCTGTGGCTGTGACCTCGTCGTAAGTAACAGCCTCATGATACTCTGGCAACGTACAGAGCACGTTTACCAACTTCTTATTAAACTACAATTGTTAGGCAAGCTGACAAGTAATGGCTTAATCTATGGCTGTGACCTCGTGAGCAACAGCCTCATGATACTCTGTCAACATACAAAGCATTTTTACTTCTTATTAAACTACAATTGTTAGGCAAGCTGACAAGCAATGTCTTAATCTATGGCTGTGACCTCGTCATGAGCAACAGCCTCATGATACTCTTCTTTTCTTCGTCATCAACCTTCACCAGTAACTGACGCTCGGCTATTACTAGCATTTGTCGTTCAGCAGATGATGGGCCTTTGTCTGGTTCATATATCTTGGCTTCACTTTGTAGCTGAAGAAAGAGATGATTTCTTAAAAATGAGAAAATGAGCATTTATTAAAGACTTCATTTCAAGGAACCAGGACCGACGTTGTGTGGACTCTGGACTCACTGGACTGACTATAGCACAGAAAAACCAATTTTTGATACGCCATATATGATTTAAAAAACGTTTTTGTACTCACTCCAGCAGCTTCGTCGTTCGTTCTTAGAGGAGTTGATGCAGTCGTTACTGCTGAACTGCTTTGATCGGACTTTCTTTTCCTGAACAAATATTTTCCTTCCAAGCGAATAACCCCTTCAAAAGAAAAGACAAAAGTGGTGATTCATCAATCTCGGGTCAAACTCTTGTACGGAATGCATAACAAGCAACACCAAATTCGCCGTAGATAACGCAAACCAAAAATAATATAGTTACGTCTTTTTTTRAACAATGCGCTCGTGCTTTCGTGTCCTTACATTTGATATACGCACGCGATGTTTGATCACCTTTACTTGGTCGGTCTGTGCTAAACGTTTTCGATTATGGTGGCAGACAGTGCGCTTGGTTTTCAGTATCAAATATCTTAGCACGGAGCCTTACTAACTAACCGTCTCCAGGAGGATATATATATTATTGTACTACACACATTATCCCCATTACCTAGCTCCTGACCATTTAGCTGTGGATTTAATACCTTTATCTTTCAACCACTTTCGTCTGAGTGACCTAATGTTGTTGATCGTTTGCGAGGAAGAGAAGGTGTACAGTACYGGATTGATGGCTGAGTTGACGGGAAGTACGAATACTCCCACACAGATATACACAGAAGGGTCATTGAATTTACCCATCAAAGACAGCACGCCAAGAACCATGATTGGCATCCAACAACAGAAATCGGTCAGAATCACAAAGAACACCCGCTTCCCCAATGAGGATTCCGCGTTATTTGATGATTTACGCACTTTTCGACCAGACTTGCGAACTTTGACGAATATCGCGATGTATCCAACAAGAATGAAGAAAAAAACTGCGCCATTGAARCCAATGAAAACAGCAACTGAGTACTCCCAACCAGCAGGGCGATCGGTGGACAACTGTAGCGACAGACAGACAGTGGAACAGCCGTAAAAATTGAAGCCCGATATCTTGTCGTTGAAGTAGCTTGGAACAAGAAGGGGAGTGAAAGACATGATGAATCCAATGACCCAGATAAACAGACAGAGAACATGAGCCAGTTTAAAACTGATGCGTCTGGCTGAGAAGTTAAAGAGAATTGTGTTCATCCTATCTGCTGTTATGGCA